ATAACAGATATGGACGAGGCATCCATCTATCATGTCTGTGGCAAGGACAATGTAGCTGGTACTCTCTCTCTCTCTCTCTCTCTCTGTATGTATATGTGGGATAAGACTATGGTACATCTTCATTTTCTTACCGAAAATTGTTGCTTCTTGTCTTGATTTATTTGTACCATTTGATTGTGAAAATAATAAATATTAAAGCTTTACATGTCTTTTGTTGTAATTTGTAATAAATAAGGCGTATGGTATTGAACAATAACGTTTTGATACAATAGTTGGACCCCTATATGTGTTCTTGGCATTGGATGCTGAATCACTGATCAAGAGCTATCTTAGGATAAAAATCAAATGAAAAAAATCTCTCCATTGTGTTAATCACTGTACAAGATGAATATAAAGTTAGATGTCAATCATTGGCAAAGGCTGAAGATCCCAGAATCTGGGTTTACATTCTGCCTGCTCCCAATTTTGTCCACAACAACTTTCCATCACCTTTTAACTGGATCCTTGTAGAGCTGGATTGCACACCGAACTCCATAGCATTAAAGGCAGCTAAGTCCTCAACATTTTCAACACTCAAGAGGGCTTTTAACCAACTTAATCCCCCAAGAAAATTCCCCTTCCAGTCTCTAATTACCACACCCATCCCCACAACTTTGATTGAGCTGAAGACAACCCCATCGAAGTTAATCTTGACAGTACCCCACCAGGGGGGCAGACCACAGAGATATTACCTAAGAAGTAGGAGAAATTTCCCTTTTTGGCTCTTACGTTCTTGGGCCTCTGTGTATTGGTTCAAATAAGATTTCGAGAAGTCTATCATTTGACAAGGAAACTAGACCTCTTGCTCTAAACGAGCTTTGTTTCTATTGTACTAGATGGACCAATAAATGACTAGGACCAAACTAACCTCCATTGGAGACAAACGTCCTGAGAGAAACTCTAGCCATTGCTGGAATGTAGCAGCTGGGTATTCTGCCAGTTTGATGGATGACTCTAACCGGACCTGCTTCTTAAAAGGACATTTCAAGAACATGCGAGTGATTGATTCTTGAGCAATCCCACAAAGGAAGCAATAATTCTCCACAGATAGTCTTCGTCTAGACAGATTGCACTGCGTTGGCAGAATGTCCTGGGAACCACTCCATACAAACAACTTGATTTTATTCGGGATATTCAAGCCCCACACAAATGCTCCACCCTACTGTCCATGACTGCTACAAGAGCCTCCCTCTAATCTGTTCTCCATAATCAAATGATATGCACTTCTAACCGGAAACTTTCCCGACTTAGTATAGTGCCATACTTGACGATCACTGGGCAAATTTGGACAAATAGGGATTGAGGAAATTTTCTCCACCTTAAAGTCCATAAAGATCTCATGTAACCTATCCATATTCCAGGCCTTAGAATCCAAATCAATCAAAGAGCTCACAAGGGCATCATCTGCTACCCCAGGGAGGGGGTTAATTACCTTAAAAGAAGTATGTCTTAGAATCCATCTATCTGTTTTCACAAACACAGATCTCCCATTACCAATACTCCAACGCAAGCCCTCCATTACATATATACTTCCTCGAACCCAAGATACTATGCCACTTAAATGATGGGTTATGACCCAACGGAGCTTCCATTATTGACGTATTTTGCTTTTAGCACCTGCCCCAACAGTGATGTTGGATTTTGAAAAAGTCATCCATACCTGTTTTGCAAGCAAAGCACAATTAAATGCTTCTAAATTCCGAAAACACAACCCACCTCTAGACTTTGGTCCACATAGCCTCTCCCAAGCTAACCAATGAATTTTTCTGTCGGATCCGTTGCCTCCCCACCAAAACTTCGCCATCAGACCATTCAAATCTGTACATAAAGTTGACGGTAGTTTAAAACATGACATGGCATATGTCGGGACAGCTTGCACCACTGCCTTAATTAGTACCTCCTTATCCGCTCTTGACAGTAACTTCTCCTGCCATCCCTGCACATTAAACCATACTCTTTCACGAATGGAATCAAATATAGCAAGCTTCGTTTGCCCTATCACCGATGGAAGTCCCAGGTATTTATCATGGCTTTCAATAACAGGAACTCGTAAAACATTCTTCGCTCTATCAAGATCAGTTAGCAGAATGGTTTTGCTTAAAACTACAGCTGATTTTGAGAAATTAATTACCTGCCTTGAAGCCATTTCATATGTCCGAAGGCATTCCATAATAGCCTCACAGTTCCCTTTTGTAGCTTTAGCAAAAGAAGACTATGGTCGGCAAAGAATAAGTGACGTAAGATAGGCCCCCCTCTGCCAGCAGACATTCTTTGAATACTTCCACTTGTTTCCCCCGCTTTTAGAAGTGCCGAGAGAGAGAGACTCTCAGAACACAAGAAGAACAGATATAGTGAAATGGGGTCACCCTGTCTCAATTCTCATTACGGTCTAAAGAAACCCTTTTGTTCCCCATTTATTATTAAGGAGTAGGAAACTGTCGATACACACCGCATAATCAGTCTCACCCATCTCTCATTAAAACCCAACCTTCTCGTCATTGATTCCAAAAAGTTTCACTCAATCCTGTCATATACCTTACTCATATCCAGCTTCAGAGACATATATGCCGTACGCCCCTTCTTCTTTTGCTTTTGATGGTGGTTAAGCTCGTACGTGACCAGGACATTGTCCGTAATCAGCCAGACTGGAACAAATGCACTCTCATACTCTGATATTATTCTTGGGAGGATCTTCTTCAGTCTGTTAGCTAGGACTTTAGCTATTAATTTATACACCACATTGCATAAACTAATTGGACTGAAGTGTGTCATATTCTCTGGATTTTGAACTTTTGGCACCATCACAATATGAGTATAGTTGAGTCTACCACACGAAGTGTCTGAATTGAGGAAGTCCAGTACAACCCTTGAAACGTCATTACCAACTACTGGCCAGAACTTCTGAAAAAAGATTGGCCAATACCATCTGGACCTGGTGATTTATTCGGATGGAACTGCTTTAGAGCTTGAACCACTTCATTTGGTGAAAAATCACCATTATTGGGAATTGGATTATGGTAGAGATCTTATTTGCGAGTTAGATTACTGAATTATTGAATATACATGCAAGATGAAAACATACATGAACACGACTTTATGATTGTGCAGTAATCTCAAAAACAGTGAGAGAGGTTCCACCGGCTGACTATCTATTTCAAATCAAATCATTCTCCTTACTTCCAGATACGAAAGAGAAAAGATATGAATCTTGTGACTTTGTATCTGGTGGCTACACATGGTGAGTAGTACTGGAAATCCTCAATTTTGTGTTCTAATCCAAAATAAGTTTTAACTAACTATGTATTGCAGGAAATTGTGTCTATACCCGAATGGAGATGAGAAAAACAATGGTAACAGACACATCTCTCTCTACTTGGCAATATCAGGGGCAAATACTTTACCTCTTGGTTGGGAGGTTAATGTCAACTTCAAGTTATTCGTGTATGATCAAGTACGAGACAAGTACCTGACAATCCAAGGTATAGCATTTCTTGTAATTTATATTTCTTCTACATATAAAAAAATATTTAAGATTATATTCCGAGTTTGCTAAATTATGCAGATGCTAATGGGAGAGTAAGCCGATTCAACAAGTTGAAGACTGAATGGGGTTTTGCCAAATTACTTTCCCTTGATACTTTCAATGATGCTTCAAATGGGTACCTTGTTGATGACTCCTGTGCATTTGGGGTCGAGGTTTATGTTATTAAATCTACCGGCAGAGGAGAATGTCTTTCTGTTAAGATGGTGGAACCTTCTAACAATACCTACACTTGGGAGATCAAAAATTTTTCAAAATTGGATGATGGAGTCTTGTACTCGGAACTTTTCTCAATTGGGAACCACAAATGGTAGGAGTCTTTTATTTAATCCTAATTTTCTAAGTGTACCACAATTTGCTGGAGCTATTTCATGTATATTCTGTTGCTCTCTTTATTTATACAGGAAGATAATTGTTTATCCCAAAGGAACCGGCAGTGCAAAGGGCAAAAGTTTGTCTGTCTTTCTACAATTAGCTGATAGTGGAACCCCTCCAACTAAGCGTAAACTATCCGTGGGATTCACTTTGGGGGTAAAAAGCAGCAAAGTGAAAGGTGAATGTCACCCCCTCTAGAGGACTGTTACACTTATCAAATTGTTGACCATAACTTTTTTACTAAATTAATTTGAATCGCTGGATAAGTAAAGCCCCGTTAGCTTTTTTCAATGGGACCGCTGATCCAACAAATATGTTCTGTTTAAAAACATGAACATTAACTTGGCCAATCTTATAGAGTATGTTCTAAAAAACTGTCCTTGTTATTTTTCCCACAGATCATTGTTGGTTCAGTGCACCGAGCGACAATTGGGGTTCTTCTAATCTTGTCTCGCTGGTAGATCTCCATGACAGGTCGAAGGGTTTCATAGTACACGATACTTTGGTTGTTGAAGTACAAATTGATGTAATGATCGATGTGAAAGAGTTCACTTAGAGAAGAACCTTGAGCGGGCTTAGAATTGTCCATGCCAAGCTTATTGTTCCTTTGTTCTTTCGATCATGTTGTTCCAAATGTCATTGAATCCAACTGGGAAAATGATAGGAAAAAGATATTGTAATTGCTGACCTTCATCATAGCTGGCATCTTTTGCTACACTTCTAATGATGCACAAAATAGGCTTATGCAAAATTTGTAACTTGCATCATTTTAATCAATTAAGTTTATAGTTTGTATTACTTAGTCCCTAAAGTTTCCAAAGAACACGTTTCAAGTGAGATCATGTGACGATCTCGAGTCATTAAATTCTAACTGCCGTTTTCAATTGGACCAAAATGATATAAATTGAAAAGTTGAGAGCCCAAGTTGATAAAATTAAAAAATTAGAGACTAAATTGAAACAAAATGCATAATTTGAGGACCAAAAATATATTTTACGCCAAACAAAATTTTGATAGTTCATTTTATACTTTGAACGGGATATATTCTTATTTTATTTTAGTGTTATTTCGATTTGAATTTATTAACTTAACTTACAACTGCCATTAGACTAGATTTAGATCCTATTCAATATTAAGACACCATGCTAATCTAATAGTCATCAGAAATAAGAAGGGTATGCTTGGTTCATATACAAATAAAAGATGAGATTGAGTAATTGATTCTCGTCTAATTCATACAAATGATATTAATAAGAGTATTATTTGATCATATTCTTTGTGTACTATTTAACTAAATTAGCAATGAATGCGTTGCATGTAAATGATTTTCGTACATAAAAAATTAATAAAAAGTATTAGGATAAGTGTGCCTAAATTAAATATTACATCAAGTTTACCAAACTTATTTGTTTATTGTTCAAATTGTATTATAGAATTATGAAGTTTTGCCTTTCCCAACGATTAATTGGTCTAACTATATATCTATACTTCCAAGACTTTCAGATAGCAACCAACAAATCTATAATCAAAGAACAACTATCCAAAACAAATTGTCAAAGCAATTAAGAGAATCAATAGAGTAATGCATCCTATATCAAGCAAAACAGAGCATTTACAGCTGCAAACTCACTTCATGGTCTTCTCTGCTTCCCAGCATTTCCAGATCCTCAGACATCTTCTCGAATCCTTCGCTCTACCCAAAATTTGATTCAGTGTTGATTCCAATTTTTTTAAAGTTATAATTCAATCCATAAAAAAGTGATAACTGATATTATCGAACTGCAAAAACTCAAGAAAAATGGAATAATTGTTGTTCTGTTTAAATTTTGTTTAATTTGCCTCTCCTTAATGGGTGGATTTGGCAGTGGCAGCTGCCAAGTTGATTTGGGCATGAAGGGGAATGGATCACCAAAGAAGAGTTTGCTAGGTGGTAGCTGTGAAGATGAATTGTTCGCAGCTTCTATGGATAGTTAGTGCTGTTCAAAGGGGTGGAGTATGAAGGCAGTTTAACCGACTCTCTGATTGGGGTTGCTGTATTTAAAATTTGTGATGTGATTCCAATTTGTTAATTCATCATACATAATTGTCTTTATGGTAAATATGACAACATTTTATCGTGAAGCAATCTTGTTCAATCTTTCATTCTCAATATAACGATGCCCCTCCCTCATTTATAGTAGAAATTTTTTAACTTTGACTTAAATTTAGATTCAAATAAAAAATATTTAAAAAATTTGTTTCAAATCTTTAATTCAAACTTTTACCAAATTAAAGAAAATTGAACGTTCTATATCAAATCAAGTTTTTATACAAATATCTATATAATAAAATAGCTCCGTGTTTGAAATTTTATCTCATACATATTTTTTCCCCCTAAAACCATCACATCATCCATTTCTATCACATGTTTAATCATTTATATTTGATTAATTTGTAGTTTAACATAATTTTTATTTCAAAAATTATCCATACACGATAGTATATACATGTTGAGAAAATTTATTGGATTACGTAGTTTTGTTGTTATTTTTTAAAAAATAATAGATAAAAATAAATTTTAATTGATGTAAACAAATAAATGAAGGAAAAGAAAAACAAAAAAAAAATAATAATAACATTGAATATTAATATTTAGGAAAATAATAACAGTAACATGTTTAACAAAAATAGTAACGTACTCAACAAAACATTAACATAGTAAAAAAAATAATAACATGAAACATTCAAGTCCAAAAAATAATAATATTTTAAAACAAATATACACATACACATTTATAAATAATATGAAATAAATACACAAATACATAGATAATATGAAGCAACAATTTGAGCTTTGAAAAACAGAGAAAGAACAGACTTAAAAATTAGAGTAATGCTGCATGAACTTAAAAATTAGACTTAATAATTACAAACATTGATTTTACTATGAGTCCCAGCATTTATAAGGACCTATTACCTATTTAATGGTTGTGATTATCAAGTCTATTTTTAAAGTTCATGTAGTATTACTCTTCTAATATATTATGAGAAATAGAGAAGGTTTTATTGACATTCTAGAGAATATCAAAAGACTTGCATGCATTCCCTTGGGGATAAAGAATGTTTCATTAAGATCCTAGAGAATATCAAAAGATTTGCATGCGTTCCCTTGCGAATAGAGAAGGTTTTATTAAGATCCTAGAGAATATCAAAAGACTTGCATGCGTACCTTTGCAGATAGAGAAAGTTTTATTAAGATTCTAGAGAATATCAAAAAGCTTGTGTGCATTCCCTTGCGGATCGAGAAGGTTTTATTAAAATTCTAGAGAATATCAAGTCTTTTTATTTAGATTTTACAGAATATCAAAAGACTTGCATGCATTCTCTTAGGGATAGAGAATGTTTTATTAAAATTCTAGAGAATATCAAAAGAATTGCATTCATTCCTTGCGGACAGAGAAGGTTTATTAAAGATTCTAGAGAATATCAAAAGACTTGCATGCATTCTCTTGCGAATGGAGAAGGTTTTATTAAGATTCTAGAGAATATCAGAAGACTTCGCGTGTTTGTATTCGGACACATGTATCAAGAGATAAATTAATATTTTCATACATATACCTTAGCATCTAAGTGCTTTTTCATTCATCAATTGCAAAGCAGAGAAAGATAACAGATATGGACGAGGCATCCTTCTACCATGTCCCTGGCAATGACAATGCAGCTGGTACTCTCTCTCTCTCTCTCTGAGTGTATATGTGGGATAACACTAAGGTACCTCTTCATTTTCTTACCGAAAATTGTTGCTTCTTGTCTTGATTTATTTGTACCAGTTAATTGTGAAAATAATAAATATTAAAACGTTATACGTCTTTTATTTTAATTTGTAAGAAATAAAAGCTACGGTACCGAACATTAACGTTTTGATACAGTAGTTGGACTCCTATATGAGTTCTTGGCATTGGGTCCTGAATCACTGATCAACAGCAACTAGCTTAAGATAAAAATCAAAAGAAAAAGAATATCTCCATTGTGTTAATCAGTGTACAAGATGAATATAAAGGTAGATGTCAATCATTGTCAAAGGCTGAAGATCCCAGAATATGGGTTTACATTCTGCCTCCCAATTTTGTCCATAACAACTTTCCATCACCTTTTAACTGGATCCTTGTAGAGCTGGATTGCACACCCAACTCCATAGCATAAAAGGCAGCTAAGTCCTCAACATTTTCAACACTCAAGAGGGCTTTTAACCAACTTAATCCCCCAAGAAAATTCCCCTTCCAGTCTCTAATTACCACACCCATCACCACAACTTTGATTGAGCTGAAGACAACCCCATTGAAGTTAATCTTGACAGTACCCCACCGGGGGGGCAGACCACAGAGATATTACCTAAGATGTAGGAGAAATTTCCCTTTTTGGCTCCTACGTTCTTGGGCCTCTGTGTATTGGTTCAAATAAGATTTCGAGAAGTCTATCATTTGACAAGGAAACTGGACCTCTTGCTCTAAACGAGCTTTGTTTCTATTGTACTAGATGGACCAACAAATAACTAAGACTGATGGTGCCAAACTGATGTGAGTGAATAGAGTGCGTGAAACTAATGCTGCCAATTTCATAATGACAGGGATGAAGTATTTTTTAGGGGATAAGGGAATTTGCACAGTTGGAATATAGTGGTTTACTGGTTCTAGAGCTCGGCTAATCCACTCTCAAATGGAGACTCTTGCTCCTTTTCTTCTCTATTGATTATTTGAATGTAATATAAGACATTCTACAATCCGATTAGGGTTCTTTTCTTTTTTCCTCCCTCTCGATGAGACATTACATAATATTTATAAGGCTGCCCCCTATTCCGTGGAATTTCGGTTGGGATCTTTGCCCATTATTCATGGGATCTTCCTTAATTTTAGGAGAGAATCTTGGTTGGTTGAGAGTTTCATGCATGACGCCCAATTTTCGCAGTCATTCAGTTGTTTTCTGGTCGGTTCAGTTACGATCTCCCCAATGAGAGCTCCAGCCTGGTTCTCTGAGTTCTTTGTGTCTTTCCTGACCTCCTGACCTGAGCTCACAACTAGGGCTTGTTTGAGGTATCATAACCAAATTAACCTCCATTGGAGACAAACGTCCTGAGAGAAACTCTAGCCATTGCTGGAATGTAGCAGCTGGGTATTCTGCCAGTTTGATGGATGACTCTAACCAGACCTGCTTCGTAAAAAGACAATTCAAGAACATGTGAGTGATTGATTCTTGAGCAATCCCACAAAGGAAGCAATAATTCTCCACACACAGTCGTCGTCTAGAGTCTAGACAGATTGCACTGCGTTGGCAGAATGGTTTTGCTTAAAACTACAGCTGATTTTGAGAAATTAAATACCTGCCTTGAAGCCATTTCATATGTCCGAAGGCATTCCGTAATAGCCTCACAGTTCCCTTTTGTAGCTTTAGCAAAGAGAAGATTATCGTTGGCAAAGAATAAATGACACAAGATAGGCCCCCCTCTGTCAGCAGACATTCTTTGAATACTTCCACTTGTTTCCCCCCGCCTTTAGAAGTGCCGAGAGACCCTCAAAACACAACAAGAACAGATATAGTGAAATGGGGTCGCCCCGTCTCAATTCTCATTGCGGTCTAAAGAAACCCATTTGTTCCCCATTTCTTATTAAGAAGGAGGAAACTGTCCAAACGCACCGCATAATCAGTCTCACCCATCTCTCATTAAAACCCAACCTTCTCATCATTGATTCCAAAAAGTTTCACTCAATCCTGTCATATACCTTACTCATCCAGCTTCAGAGACATATATGCCGTACGCCCCTTCTTCTTTTGCTTTTGATGGTGGTTAAGCTCATACGCGACCAGGACATTGTCCGTAATCAGCCAGACTGGAACAAATGCACTCTCATACTGTGATATTATTCTTGGGAGGATCTTCTTCAGTCTGTTAGCTAGGACTTTAGCTATTAGTTTATACACCACATTGCGTAAACTAATTGGACTGAAGTGTGTCATATTCTCTGGATTTTGAACTTTTGGCACCATCACAATATGAGTATAGTTGAGTCTACCACACGAAGTGTCTGAATTGAGGAAGTCCGGTACAACCCTTGAAACGACATTACTAACTACTGGGCAGAACTTCTGAAAAAAGATTGGCCAATACCATCTGGACCTGGTGATTTATTCGGATGGAACTGCTTTAGAGCTTGAACCACTTCATTTGGTGAAAAATCACCATTATTGGGAATTGGATTATGGTAGAAATCTGTAAGGGGTAGAAATCGCTACGGATCTCATCCCTCCATTTGAAGGATTCCGGCTGACCTGGCGACACCGAGTCCCAGTAGCCTTTACCTCTCTTCGCCAATAAGACCCTTTCTTAAGACAATCCCACATCGGAAGAGAGTCGTCTTCCCTCCTGCCATATAAGTGAACACTTCCTATGGAGGAGGTACCCACTAGGCACCTGATCAGGTCGCTAGTGGGTACCTCCTCCATAGGAAGTGTTCACTTATATGGCAGGGGGGAAGACGACTCTCTTCCGATGTGGAATTGCCTTAGGAAAGAGTCCTATTGGCGAAGAGAGGTAAAGATTACTAGGGCTCGGTGCCGTCAGGTCAGCCGGAATCTTTCAAGTGGAGGGATGAGATCCGTAGCGATTTCTACCCCTTACAAAAAGACGCCTTTTTGTAAGGGGTAGAACCCTCTACTAAGGATTTCGGCTTGACCTGGGTTAACCCACGCGGGCGACCCCCCAGTAGCCTTTACCTCTCAGTGCCCGCAGGAGCTTCGTCCCACATCGACTGAGAGTCGTCTCTCCCCCTCGCATATATGCCCTTGCACTCAAAGGAGGAGGTACCCACTAGCGACCTCTCAGTGCCCGCAGGAGCTTCGTCCCACATCGACTGAGAGTCGTCTCTCCCCCTCGCATATATGCCCTTGCACTCAAAGGAGGAGGTACCCACTAGCGACCTGATAAGGTGTCTAGTGGGTACCTCCTCCATAGGAAGTGTTCACTTATATGGCAGGGGGAAGACGACTCTCTTCCGATGTGGAATTGCCTTAGGAAAGGGTCCTATTGGCGAAGAGAGGTAAAAGCTACTGGGGCTCGGTGCCGCTAGGTCAGCCGGAATCCTTCAAGTGGAGGGATGAGATCTGTAGCGATTTCTACCCCTTACAAAATCTTATTTGCGAGTTAGATTACTGAATTATTGAATATACATGCAAGATGAAAACATACATGAACACGACTTTATGATTGGGCAGTAATCTCAAAAACAGTGAGAGAGGTTCCACCGGCTGACTATCTATTTCAAATCAAATCATTCTCCTTACTTCCAGACACGAAAGAGAAAAGATATGAATCTTGTGACTTTGTATCTGGTGGCTACACATGGTGAGTAGTACTGGAAATCCTCAATTTTGTGTTCTAATCCAAAATAAGTTTTAACTTACTATGTATTGCAGGAAATTGTGTCTATACCCGAATGGAGATGAGAAAAACAATGGTAACAGACACATCTCTCTCTACTTGGCAATATCAGGGACAAATACTTTACCTCTTGGTTGGGAGGTTAATGTCAACTTCAAGTTATTCGTGTATGATCAAGTACGAGACAAGTACCTGACAATCCAAGGTATAGCATTTCTTGTAATTTATATTTCTTCTACATATAAAAAAATATTTAAGATTATATTCCAAGTTTGCTAAATTATGCAGATGCTAATGGGAGAGTAAGCCGATTCAACAAGTTGAAGACTGAATGGGGTTTTGCCAAATTACTTTCCCTTGATACTTTCAATGATGCTTCAAATGGGTACCTTGTTGATGACTCCTGTGCATTTGGGGTCGAGGTTTATGTTATTAAATCTACCGGCAGAGGAGAATGTCTTTCTGTTAAGATGGTGGAACCTTCTAACAATACCTACACTTGGGAGATCAAAAATTTTTCAAAATTGGATGATGGAGTCTTGTACTCGGAACTTTTCTCAATTGGGAACCACAAATGGTAGGAGTCTTGTATTTAATCCTAATTTTCTAAGTGTACCACAATTTGCTGGAGCTATTTCATGTATATTCTGTTGCTCTCTTTATTTATACAGGAAGATAATTGTTTGTCCCAAAGGAACCGGCAGTGCAAAGGGCAAAAGTTTGTCTGTCTATCTAAAATTAGCTGATAGTGGAACCCCTCCAACTAAGGGTAAACTATCCGTGGGATTCACTTTGGGGGTAAAAAACAGCAAAGTGAAAGGTGAATGTCACCCCCTCTAGAGGACTGTTACACTTATCAAATTGTTGACCACAGCTTTTTTACTAAATTAATTTGAATTGCCGGATAAGTAAAGTCCCGTTTGGCTTTTTTCAATGGGACCGCTGATCCAACAAATATGTTCTGTTTAAAAACATGAGCATTAACTTGGCCCATCTTATAGAGTATGTTAGTTTGATTAATTTGTCTAAAAAACTGTCCTTGTCATTTTTCCCACAGCTCATTGTTGGTTGAGTGCACCGAACTACAATTGGGGTTGTCCTAATCTTGTCTCGCTGGTAGATCTCCATGACAGGTCGAAGGGTTTCATAGTACACGATACTTTGGTTGTTGAAGCACAAATTGATGTAATGACGGATGTGGAAGAGTTCACTTAGAGAAGAACCTTGAGCGGGCTTAGAAGTGTCCATGCCAAGCTTATTGTTCCTTTGTTCTTTCGGTCATGTTGTTCCAAATGTAATTTAATCCAACTGGAAAAAAGATAGGAAAAAGATATTGTAATTGCTGACCTTCGTCATAGCTGTCATCTTTTGCTACACTTCTGATGATGATGCACAAAATAGACTTATGCAAAATTAAAAGTCGAGTGAATGATGCAAGAGAATTAATGAAACAATTAATAAATCAATCAATGACAAAAAGTAAATATTGGGTTAACAGACAGGTATATAGTAGTTTGATCAGAGTGATTTACTCAACATTGAAAAACAATAACTGTTGTCAGAGAACCTTTATTAATAAAGTAATAAAGTAAAGTGAGAACGTGACAGATCAATGGGTAGCACAGGGAGATATACAATAGCTAGGAGAGAGAAAAGTTAAAGGAGGGGTGTACAGAGAGATGTAGTGATATCTCAAGAGGTTCCCTTTCATATAGAGAGAACTTACAATTTATAAACACAGAATCTTGGTTAAAGGCGGTGACGTGAAGACAAAAATACTAATTCTCCGGATTGCTACAAAAGGTAAGTGCCTTAAAATGTTGCTTTGATCTTTGCGAGTGCGTACCCCGATGATTACTCCCCACGTGCTTTAATCTTCTTGAATTTTTTGGATATTAGGCTGGGTCGGATTCTCGAACTAGAATTAACTTGCCTGTTAGCTGATTTAAACTTATTTGATTTATTGAACCCAACCCAATTGAATCTGGGCTCGTCAACTTTGTTGAGGATCTATTATGCTCTCCAACTTTGTTGAGGATCTATTATGCTCTCTTTCGGGTTTTTTCTCTACAGTGATTTTATAAAGATAGCTGAGCTGGGCCTAGAGGTGGCCGAACCAACCTAAGAGATGGTCAAATTGAGATCAAAGAATGACCTGCTTCTTGTAATGAGAACGAGGTATCATACTTAGAAGTTACAATATTTTTTTAGTTTATAATATATGAGGTTTTGATTAATACTGGAATGTTATGGTTGATCACAAAAAAATATTATTTTAAAGTCTAAATTAAAATTTGATCGGCCATAATATTGTAACTTGACTTTGAGTATGTGCCAGATACACATAGAACAATAAATAACCAAAACTTTTTTGGTTATTCAAATGGATTGAGATATTTTCTAATTTTTTTAAAAATATCTCTTAATAATAAGTTATTTATCATAAATTTACATGAGACTCCTTATTTATGAATAAGTCTTTCATTCTTACAAGACGTACAAATACTTACTATCAAGAGAAATCGCAACAACAAGAGAGAGAGAGAGAGAGAATTAGATCAATTCACAAGGTGATTTTAGTTCAATGCTTAAGTGTCACTTTTGACAGCGGGATCATTTCTTTGAATCCTTCTTCCTTATCTTTATACAATCAAACAAAAGGGTAAAATTTATCCAATTGAAAACATCAGTTTGGAATTAACTAATGAAGATGTTCACGTGATCATACTTGAGGAGGGGTCACTTTGGTCCATCAAATTTGTAACTTGCATCATTTTAATCAATTAAGTTTATAGTTTGTATTACTTAGTCCTTAAAGTTTCCAAAGAACACGTTTCAAGTGAGATCATGTGACGATCCCGAGTCATTAAATTCCAACTGCCGTTTTCAATTGGACAAAAATGATATAAATTGAAAAGTTGAGAGCCCAAATTGATAAAATTAAAAAATTAGAGACTAAACTGAAACAAAAATGCATAATTTGAGGACCAAAAATATATTTTACGCCAAACAAAATTTTGATAGTGCATTTTATACTTTGAACGGGATATATTCTTATTTTATTCTAGTGTTATCAGAAATAAGATTTACATCTTATTCAATATTAAGACACCATGCTAATCTAATAGTCATCAGAAATAAGAAGGGTATGTTTGGTTCGGGTACAAATAAAAGATGAAATTGAGTAATTGGTTCTCGTCTAATTCATACAAATGATATTAATAAGAGTATAATTTGATCATATTCTTTGTATACTATTTAACTAAACTAGCAATGCGCACATAAATAATTTTCGTACATAAAAAATTAATAAAAAATATTAAGGTATGTGTGCCTAAAGTAAATATCACATCAAGTTTATCAAACTTATTTTTTATCGTTCAAATTGTATTAAAGAATTATAAAGATTTTGTCTGTCCCAACCATTCATTGCTCTTAACTATATATCTAGACTTCCAAGACATTCAGATAGCAACTAACAAATCTATAATCAAAGAACAACTATCCAAAACAATTGTCAAAGCAATTAAGAGAATCAATAGAGTAATGCATCCTATAACAAGCAAAACAGAGCATCTACAGCTGCAAACTCACTTCAAGGTCATCTCTGCATCCCAGCATTTCCAGATCCTCAGACATCTTCTCGAATCCTTCACTTTACCCAAAATTTGATTCAGTGTTGATTCCATTTTCGTTTTGGGTTTCTTCGGTTGACTTTCCAACACTGACTTAATTTTGTCTCTTAGTTCATGATCAGCTGGTTCCACCATTTTCATATCAGAATTCCTCTGTTTTTGCTTTTCAAGTTCAAATTCCAACTGCTGAAACATTTCCACGAGTTCTTCCTTTTGTTGTGTCAACCGGGCAAGATGAACTTGCAGGCGAGGGATCTCAGTCTCAAGCTCATCTAATATCAATTTCAAGGCCACAGATTCTTGATTCAACGCCATTTTCTGCTTCTGATCTATATACAGAAAAATCAATGATCAGAAAGACACTCACACGAATGTATTCATGTAGTTAGACACATGCAGGGAGAGAGAGAGAGAGACCTTGATTTTCTTGATCGGACTGTTTCTTTATCTTCAAATCCCCAACATAATCTTCAACATTCTCAGAATTTCCAAGATCAAGATCGCTACCATCACAGCATTTCCAGATCCTCAGACGTCTTCTCGAATCCTTCGTCCTGCCCTCAATTTGAGTCTCTGTTGATTCCATTTTTGTTTCGGCTTTTTCCGTTTGGCTTTCCAGCCATGACTTAATTTTTTCTCTCTGTTCATGATGAGCTGGTTGTTCCACACTAACCCTGATCCTGTTCTTAAAAAGTTCAAATACCTCCATTTCCATATCAGAATTCCTCTGTTTCAGCTTTGCAAGTATGAATTTCGACCGCTCAAATTTCGCATCTTGTTCTTCCTTTACTCGCGTCAACCAGGCAAGTTCATCTTTGATTTCTCTAGCTAATCTATTAAATTTGGATCTCTTCTGGTCAAATGTCTTAACAATGGGACTCAGTTTTGAATTTTTGGAGGGAATTTCATCTTAAACTTTTTCACTACGATCTTGATCTGTGAATTCAGCATTGGCGATTGTTTCTACAAGAAAAACAATCAACAAACATGAAATAAAATACAAAAAAATTATATATACAGAAAAATCAATGATCAGAAAGCCACTCATACGTATGTATTCATGTAGATAGACACATGCGGGGAGAGAGAGATAGACCTTGATTTTCTTGATCGGACTGTTTCTTTATCTTCAAATTCCCAACATAATCTTCAACATTCTCAGAATTTTCAATATTAAGATCGCTACCATCGTCGGATGACGATTGAAATTGTAAATCGAACTTCAGCCGCAACTTATCCAAATGCTTCTCCACATCATCTGCCATTTTGCTTTCGTTAAACATTCCGGTCATTTTCTGCTCGGTTTCTTCAACCTCAAGATCAACGTGTTTGAGATTGTCATCGAACTCAGTTGACAACTCATTCAGCTTCTTCTTGAAGGATTCTTGATCGCTGTCGAATTGTTGAATCGCAGCCGTTAGTTTCTCGTTTTCCTCCTTGTTCTTTTCACTCTTATCTTGAACAAGAGAACTGACTTCTGAAATTTTGGCGGTAATTTCATCTTCAGCTTTGTCATTGCGATCTTGATCTGTGAATTCAGCGTTCGCTGTTGTTCCTACAAGAAAGAAAATCAACTAACATGAAATAAAATACAAAAAAGAAAAAAGAAAAAAGAAAAATCAATGATCAGAAATACACTCCCGTGTATGAGTAGAGAGAGAGACCTTGATTTTCTTGATCGGACTGTTTCTTTATCATCAAATCCTCGTCATTCTCAGAGTTTCCAAGATCAAGATCGCTACCATCGGATGACAATTGCAACAGATACAAGTGATGATCAAGCCAACACTGATTCAAATGCTTCTGTACATCATCTTCCATTTCGCTATCATTCATCACTTCGTACATTTTCTGTCCAGTTTCTTCAACTTCAAGATCGTCATCGATCTCTCTTAGCAACTCATTCAGCTTCGTCTTGACGGCTTCTTGATTGCTGTCAAAGTGTTCGATGGCAGCATTCGGCTTCTCGGTTTCCTCGTCGTTTTCAATCTTATGTTGCTCAGAGAAATCACTTTCATTAATCGTACCGTCCGCCATTGATGATCTAGCAAAAACAAAGAAAAGTAAGAGAAACTAATGGAGTGCATATATCTGTATAATAAAATAGAATTATATTTGAATTTTATTGCAGTCATATTTTTCATCTCAAAATTATCACCAATCATTTACTTCACCTATCATCTCCTTTTCAGACTCAAACGTCAAATCACAACACTCATTTATATCACATATTTAATCATCTGTATATTTCTTTCCTAAAAATATCACATCATTCATTTCTATCATATATTTAATTATTTAATTAATTTGTAGTTAATATATTTTGAAAAAATTTAATATAGTGGAATCGATTTTTTAGACGCTCAAATTTTATATTTTATCGGGCCTTTAGGCACGGGTTATGACTAGTATATATATATACTAGAGATTGTTCATACGTGAAGGCACTTTATAAAACAAAAAAAATTCAAGTTGCTAAGTGAACGAGGACAAAATAGTCTATTTGGAACTAAAACGGGATTCATGGGCATTGCTTATCTTATCTGATTACAGTAGCAACAATTGTATAAATACTTTAGTTTGTAACATAAAGAAACAAAACAATGGATATGGTTCATTGAAGCTAAAGGTCCGCAAATGTTATTGTAAGTACCAAACGTTTCTCCACCCCCACTCTATCTTGTTCTATCTAATTAGTTCGTATCACACTGCGATGCAAGAATGAAAATGAGAACAAAAAATTGAAAAGATCAACAACTGAAACACAAGTATATCTCACAACCATGATTTTAGGAACTAGGAACATAGTTTTCAATGCTACATTCATACTAATTGACAGAAGTGAGTTCATTTGTCCCTACACAGTGCGCAGCAACGATAGACAATCTACCAAAGCCTTATACAAAAGCAGAAATGAACCCACAATACAAAAAGCATGAAAAACCAACAATTGAATGTCAAATTCATCTATTTGTTTCAATTTCTTAACAACCAAGTATTGACACTGTCATAGTAACACTCTATTACACCAAATCATAGCTTACCATCCATCAATTCCAAACAAAAAATAAACAAATCTCCAAGCAATATCGTGCAAATTTGATTCCCAATACCACGTGCATTACAACAGTCAAAACTAAAATGCCGAATTGCATTGAAATAGTATCATTGCATAATTAAAAATGCAATTTGCCGGTGGGTTTGTCCCTAACAAAGATCACAAAAAGATTGAATGTAAACAAAAAGAATCCATTCGAGTCACATAAAAAAACAGCTGAATAAAATTCATGCTTATTATTCTATATATGTAATTGAGAGAGATAATGATAATACCACTGCAAAGGAGACACATTGGGATCATTTGGTTGCCGTATTCAAAATGGATGAATTATATAAAATAATTCAGTCTAATACAATACAACAGGGTAAAATATAAGATTAAATAGGGTATTAGAATAATACATAATTTTATCTAGTGTTTGATAATACACAACATAAACGCTAGATAATAGTTATTTAATCCAAACGGTTGCTTGGTTAGAGAATTATTTCATCGTATTAATGTTGAATTAATAAAAATACCTTCAATCAGTGTTTATTACATTGATGACAACTTGATTTTTTATAATAGTAATTGTGTAGAATAATATGTTTGAGTTGAATTATAATACCACATCTCTTGGTGATATTAAAATATTTTCATAATACAAGTCAATCGTATAAATAATATACGATAAACATACGATTAATATACGTTTTTAAAATTAATACGATATTAAATTTGTTTACCAAATAAAGTATTAAGCCCAATTCAATAAAAAATAGTACAATTCAATATTCAATCCTCTCATAATACGTTGAGCCCATTAGGTATAAAAGAATAACAAAAAACTCCTAACCTTCATTATCTTTATCATGCAAAGTAACCATACCAAAAAAACATATTTGTTCAACCAAATTTCCAACTTAACATCATAAAGCCATTTAAATGACTTCAATACAAACAAACAGAATTCCAATGTCAGCAAAAAAAAAAAAAAATTACTGCTACATCAAGAACCCAATTCATCATATACCGTAAAATTACTGGAATCCATTAGATGGGGGTTGGCACTGAGAGATGAATAATTTTTTAAAAAAGAAATTCACATATTTTCTTGATAGCAAAATTAAAAACTCAATTTTAAAACTCATAGGCTATGCTTGTCAAAGTTAAAAATTGAGCTTGTATTTTTTTTCAGAGGCAAACCAACAAACAGTATGAAAATCATACATACGAAACCCATAAAAGAACCAGAGAGAGGGATGGAGGCGACGGGGGCAGTGTTTGTGGCAATGGGAAGTGAAGCTTAGAATTTCATGTAAAACTTAGATTTCAGTACTGAAACAACAGTTTCGGCGGGGTGAAGGAAATGGGGTTGTGTTGTGGTGGCTTGGTGTCAGACGGTGTAATAGCACAAAAACAAGACATGACTCAGAGTGTCGACTTTTGTGTGTGTGAGTATGGGTGAGAGGTTGCAGGGGGTTGGGACAAAGGGTACGAGAGGGAGTCGTGTGTGGTGGTGGCTGTGCATATAGGCGGTGGGCGATGGATGGGGTTGCTGATTTGGGGGTGAGTAGCGGTGTCCTGGTGGCAACCGGTAGACAGAGAGAGAGACTGCATACTAGGATGTTGCTATGGCGGTGGCGCCGTGGCAACTGAGAGAGAGACGAATACGTATGAGAGAGATGTATTTCGGGTGTAATGTAGAGTCGGGGAGAGAGAGAATGAGAGATGTATAGATAGAGTGAGACGTATTTCAAGTTGATTACAGTCATAGAATTATAGGCTCTTGAAATTGTTGGAATTATTATGCCTTCTAGATTACGGTAATCTTGATTAAGAATGAGATGCTTATTCTTTGGATAGTCAATTATTTAGTAATCTTATTAGGGAATAAGATTATTAACATAACTCAATTCTCAATAATAGTGGGTATCCTAAAACCATGGTCAATGGTGATAATCTCATTTCTACATCCTAAAATCAATTTTCTTTTTAAAATTAAGTTATCTCCTAAAACAATTTAATAATGACATTAATTTTCATATCAGATTACTAATAATAATCAAACACTAAATATGTGATTATTAAGATAATTGAAAATCGGATAACTCATTATTAAGAATGAGATACTCATTTTCAATTAAGATTATTGTCAACAAAACGTGCCCTAGAGTCTTGGAATGATAGTCATGTTAAAATTGTTGAGGGGAAAATATTTTGGAGGTGAAGTTTTGGTTGTTGGATCAAAGTCTATAAACGATTTGAATAACAAAAAAATTCAAGATACACTATTACATAGGAGTATTCAAAATTTTTGTCCTTTATTACATAGGAGTAATATTAAATGTAGCGGTGATACCATGTTATCATTGATGATATGATATCACCAACTAATAATAAAATCACAAATGAGAAAGATGAACCCCACTTGGGTTTATATGACAGAAGGGCGAGAAGTTATTTGCTTACATTACAGATTAATTATTAATTTTTGTGGAATCTATTTGTTTATTTATTTGAGTATTATTAGTTGGTGATACCACATCACATTTTAACGTGATATCACCATTGTAATAAATATTTTCTCTTGTATTCCACCCACTTTCCTCTCTTGTCTCCTTCTTGCACCCTTTTTGAACTCATTCTCTCTTGTAATTATAGCCTTCACTTTTTGTCTTCTCCATCCCACATCTGTAAGTCTCGTACAACTTTGCTTTATAAATAAAAGCTTTCAATGATATTTACACGATCCTCTCTATATTGGTATCAGAGCCGAGTAATGGCAGGTTAAATTTATTCTGTTGATTTATATGCAGATCAATTAAAGTTGTTTTACCTTTAAGGTTATGAAACATAGCTTCTAGACATAGAATATTCATTATTTTATAATATATCCTATAAGTAAAACTCATTATGTCTATTCTATCTTTAAAATTGTAACCATAAGTTTAAATATTACAAGTTAAAACATCTAATATATTTCTATCCATTAAGGATACTGATATATTTGAAAAACAAAATGGACTGTTACTTATGCTAGATTGCATCACTGCCATTAACGATTAATCAAAATCTAGATATCTAGTATCTTCTAAGGCTAGCATAAAAGAGACATTTAATCCTTGAAGAGTTAATGGTTTTCAAGCCACCTGGACTAATCCAATATGTAGGAATTTATAATTATCTTGAGTCTTTCAGACTTCTCTTTCTGTTAATAGTTGTAAAGTATCCTCATTTTGATCATAGGAAATTGTTCGTTCTAACATGTTAATTATTAGACTTGATTTAAAATCAAAAGTTCCAATATTATATATCTTATTAGTTGGGTACTGAGGTATATCTCAGTTCTGTAATTTATTTTCAATATTTGAGAATTCAATTTTTTTCCATATTTTTAACATAATCATTTTTATGTTTATTATTAAATTTAAACAGGCTTAATGCCATATTTGTTTGTCACAAAATTTTCTATTGACCTATATGCTTCACTATAATGGTTTTCTTTTGTTCCTATGGTTCTACACCCAAGCTGCGTGTAGGATGTTAGACAGTGTCTGAGAGATAGGAGTGAGACTGTTTGTGTTCCTCGTAAATCGTTGACAACAAGAGTAGGAAAAAGGAAGAAGATCACTGTAGCGGAATTATTATAGCAACAATCATTATGACATTATTGTAGTAGAATTAAAAGACGACTCACTACAACTTAAAATAGAAAGGATCGTGCAAATATCAATGAAAGCTTTTATTTATAAAGCAAAGTTGTATAAGACTTACAGATGGGGTGTAGAAGACAAAAAGTGAAGGCTATAATTACAAGAGAGAATGAGTTTAAAGAGGGTGCAAGAAAGAGACAAGAGAGGGAAGTGGGTGGAATACAAGAGATGTAGGGAAGTAGGTGCAATACCTTATTTAAAAGTTTGTAATTAATTACTAATCAAGGAACTCCTCGCTCCTTTTTTACAGAAATATTAACATAAAAAGCTACACAACT